TAAAATGAAGCAGCTCTGCGTTCTCTCGAGGACGCAGGATTCGCGGATGGACTTCTCGTCATACTTTGAAGCTTGCAACGACCGACGAGCGATCGCGAGGAATCGAGAAACTGACAGAACCGACACGCCGCACACCGAGAGTTACATCGAGTGACAGAGAGTTAATATACGAACATGCCAAAAATTCTATATTAAAAATATCCGGCATGTACCCCGCTGTGTTGTACATTATTGTGTATTTTGATATCAATCCCCACGTATTCACGGTCTCGCATCAGGAACACAGTTTCGCGCCCAAGGGCTGCGGCTTCGCGGTGCGCTCCAATCGTCTCTGCTGCTGCTCCATCAACCGCTGCTCCCGCTCTCTCCTTCTCTGCTCGCGCAGAAATTTGGCGGCGTCACTGAAGTCGTCTATGGCGTCCACCTCCCAACCGGCGGCGTTCTCCTCCCATTCCACCAGCTCGTTCTGGACGTTACGACAGGAACGTAAGTGACTGCGAGTGTTACAGGTTACGCTTTCGAGCGTGGACTTACGGTAGGAACGGGATCCATGGCCGTGAACTTTGCAGCGTTGCGAGACGAGCCGTCCGCGTGCTTGTCCTTTATTAGAATCTTTGTCTGCCTAGTGATTTTCGGCGTCATATCCTGCGCAAAGGTAAAAGCGTTCGTACCGAAGCGACTGTCTCCAAGTCAGCCCTCGCACTCACCTCGAAGAAGTTCAGCTGTTCCTCGGTGGGCGATTCGGGGGGCTTGATCACCTGCTGCCGGTACTGGTCTATCTTCGCTTGTATCGGGTTCACCGGCTTGTCCGGTATAACGACAACTGGATTTTCCTCCCACTTATCCCACTGCTCCAGTTCCTTAAAACAAGCGTACTCGATGAGCATCGTTGCAAAACTCAGATATGCGGCGACACGTTCTCCATTTTAGGACTGTACATTACGAAGCGTTACAGTTTCTGCCGTCGTAGTCTTCCCGGCTTGCCTCGACTTTCTAAAGAGCTGTAACATTTCTATCGACGCCGACAAGAATAACGAAAGGTAGATTCTTGCACCATCATCGTTCTCATGTGTAGAGAAAAATCCTCCATCGTGACAGATAGGCTCCTAATTTGCAACACCCAATTTTATAAATCTTCTTTAGCAACAATTACACGCACGGGCCAACAATGATCATTAATTTAGTAAAACACCCTGCTGTCTCATATTAAAAGCCCGTCTTGTAGAGGACTTTATTACAACATAACAGGTTTTCAACACCCAATTCTACAAATCTTTTTTAGCAACAATTACATTCGTCCAACAATAAAATTTTCACTTCAAGGGCAATAAATTCATGCTGGAACCAACAGACGAGGCTCATTAAATCAGTAAAATCCTCGCTGTCTCAGATTAAAAGCCCATCTCGTAATAGAGGACTTTCCTCTAGTTTAAAAAGGTGTCACATGGTTGAATACGATCCAACAATAATCATTAATTTAGCAAAAATCCCTGCTGCCTCATATTAAAAGCTCATCTTGCAATAGTGGACTTTATTACGAGAGAGGCTTCTAATATGACATAACAGGTTTTCAACACTCAATTTTACAAATCCTATTCAGCAACAATTACACGAGCGATCCAATGATAAATTTTCCACTTCAAGGGCAATAAATTCAGGCTGGAACCAACAGACGAGGCTCATTAAATCAGTAAAATCATCGCTGTCTCAGATTAAAAGCCCATCTCGTAATAGAGAACTTTCCTATAGTTTGGAAAAGTGTCACATGGTTGAGTACGAACCAACAATGATCATTAATTTAGCAAAAATCCCTGCTGCCTCATTAAAAGCTCATCTTGCAATAGTGGTCTTTATTACAAGATAGGCTTCTAATATGACATAACAGGTTTTCAACACTCAATTTTACAAATCCTTTTCAACACACACGGTCCAATGATAAATTTTCCACTTCAAGGGCAATAAATTCAAGCTGGAACCAACAGACGAGGCTCATTAAATGAGTAAAATCCTCGCTGTCTCAGATTAAAAGCCCATCTCGTAATAGAGGAGTTTCCTATAGTTTGGAGAAGTGTCACATGGTTGAGTACGATCCAACAATGTTCACTAATTTAGCAAAAATCCCTGCTGCCTCATATTAAAAGCTAATCTTGCAATAGTGGACTTTATTACAAGATAGGCTTCTAATATGACATAACAGGTTTTCAACACTCAA